TAAAACAACGGTTTTCTAAGTCAATTAAGGATTTTTCACGGTAGCACCCCAAATCGGTTTTCGCAAAGTAAAAAGGTTTTATTTTTCAAAGACTTTGCGAATTATTGCGCAACTCTGATTTTTACAGTAAGGTGGGGTGTTACATAATAATAATTAAAAAATGTTCATTCATCAACCAGCACTGCAAACTCAAATTCAAACTCAGGTTCATCTTACAATACCCATCAAACTCAAATTCAAGATCATTACAATTTAATTTCAAACACTGTCACTACTTTCATCATCCGACATGCAAGATCCAATCGCAGTTGTAGTTGCTTTCCTGCAACCATCAATGCCAAAATGATAGACGATAAATGTGTTTGGACCTCGAAGTTGGAAACACATAATCTCCCTTTCCTGCACGTCATTATCTCTTGCAAAATCCGTCCATCCATTTCCAAAAACAATCTTGTATCCAACACGATCAATCACAACTGGCCATTTGAAGGCATCATCACTTTCATTGTTCTGAAGGGTGCATTCTAGTGGAACAAAATCTTTGATGACCCGGCGAATGGCACGCGGGAGATACTAGAAAGCATGAATGTTCATAATTTTCAATTGATAAAGTAAAAACAAATTTCAAAACATGAACAAACAAGTAATATCAGAATAGTTTAAACAAACTGTTTACCAGATTGTCGCTATTGGGGTTCAGCATGAATATCACGAATCGGTCGATATCCAACAATCTAGGCTTGTAGCCAGCCATTTCTAGAACATTATTGCACCGCATCAACCGATTCTTTTGGCACCAACTATCGTCAAAGTGAAAGAACACAAAATTGTTAACATTGACCAGCTTGAAAACCAAAAAATCACCAGACTCTATAAGGTTATCAAGAACGAATTGATCCCATCCACGAGTGAAACATGTTCTTTCCCCCAAGACTTCGACCGTCAGGTCCCAGCAGCGCCCACAGTCAAAAACGTCACTATGCACTTTACAAGAAACGGGGAGCCGCACCGCACCAAAATATGGATCAGTGGCAGAGGGAAGCGCCTATTAATGTCAAACATCACCAAAACCAAGTAGCTCAAATCACAAAAAGCACAAAAAAGCAAAAAAAAAAAGGACAACATAATTAAATTAGTACCTCAGAATGCTTACAAGGAAGTGTTCATTAACATCAGGCTGACGAATAAGTTGGACAAATGTCGGCATCTCTGAAATGTTGTTGTTGGCCATTTTCTGATTGCGGATTTACTTTTCGATGATTGCTGTGAAGGTTAAGAATACCGTAGTTCTTGATATGTGGTAGTAGCTAGGGTTAATGCCAGCCCTTATATAATCGGTGGCCAACACAACCCTTGACCTACCCGCCCACACAACCTTTGACCTACCCCGCCGCCCGTGTACAAAAGATGCATATTTAGTGGAAAAAGTGAATAATTGCTGAATTTTAACATGGTTACTCAGCTACTGCTATTTTATTGTAACTTGGTTGCATAAATATTGTACAGGAGATGCATAGTTAGTGTAGTTGAGATGTAAAAACTATCTACTAAATTCTTGCATGGTTACTGTAAGCATTGTTGCTATTTTATTGTAATTTCGTTGCCTAAATAGTGTACCAAAGATGCATATTTAGTGGAAAAATGAAAATACTTGCTGAATTCTCACATGGTTACTCAGCTACTGCTATTTTATTGTAAATTTGTTGCATAAATATTGTACAGGAGATGCATAGTTAGTATAGTTGAGATGTAAAAACTATCTACTAAATTCTTGCATGGATACTGTAAGCATTGTTGCTATTTTATTGTAATTTCGTTGCCTGAATAGTGTACCAAAGATGCATATTTAGCGTAATAAAGATGCATATTTATAAAGAAAGCAATTTAAAGGAGTTAATATTTCTCTATTCATCATATAATATCTGATAACAAAACATGAAATAACTATGTGTTACAATCAGAATTCTCATTGGTCTTAGTACAAGTTCTACTATTATGATTTCCTATTTCTCCGCATTTTCCACAACGCCTTTTCAGCTTTTGGCTTTCTTTGATTGACTTTTCTCGTTGTGACAACAATCGGCTTCTTGTGGTGCTTCCATTTCCCTTGTTCTTTGCTTGCTTTGGAGGAAGAATATTTACTTCCAGATTTGAAACTGAACCGCAAAAGTCTTCCATAACTCCTTCTTTGCTTAAGACTGAAACCCCCTTCCTGTCGTCCACCCAACAAGTAATTCTTTTCATCATTGAGAACTCTAGATAACCTAGCCAACTTATTCTCATCATCTTCAGCAAGCGATACACAACAGTGAAAATCAGACCACAATCTGTTTAAATAGCGATTTCGATGGTTGTTGCCATGTACTACAGCTAATTTTCCATTTTCAAACTCATTACCTGAAGATGCAGCTTTCAGCCAACGGTTAAGAAGGTAGTGATCAGGTATTCTGTCTAAATCCTTGATGAACATTAGTATGTGACGACATAATAATCCAAATTGTTCAAACATCTTGCAGCTGCAATGTACAGAATCCGGATCTTTTTCTACAATGAAATCAAGATCATCACGACCAATTTCCACAACTTTATATCTTGTTACATCATTCTCCTTTTGGATTTGGATAGGCACACACCGAAAACATGTTGCCTCAATTTCTGCTTGCACCTCAGAAAATACTGTCTTAGTATAAACTTTTGCAGCATGTTTCTCTATTTCTAATGGTGTCTTGCAATCAGGAGGTGTAGTCACACATTCATGGTGCATTTTACGTGAAACATGCCTTTGTGCATCCATTGCACTTTCAAAATGCATAAAGAACTCAACTAAGTTTGCATGTTGAGATATGTAACTTCCAAACCAACTATTTGCACTTTCTGATCTCGAAGTTGTCCTAAGCAAACCACCCATTTGCACATCTCTAAAGTATGCTGGGATCCATGACTTTCTAATCTTAAACAGATTACAAAACTAATGATTTTCTGTCAAGGCAAACTCATTCATCAAATTTCCCCACTTTTCTTCAAATTCTGGAGGCGT